TGCTGAAAGTGGCTGCATGCAAATACTTTGCTTTCTCGGCACAATCACACACACATTCACGCGCACCCAAAACCCAGCTCACTGTTGCTCCCAACCCAAATAGGAACACCTTGTTTCAAGAATGGCATCTCAACACCAAGTACTTCAGGTTCTTTTAATGACTGCACTGGTTAGCAATAAGAAAACTCCCAGCTTTTCAGCTGAGGGTTTTGACTAATCTATGATTTTGTGTGAAGAAAATATGGAGGGCAACGTTAACTTTTGAAACCAGAATTTTTTGAAGTCTAAGATCAGATGCAAAGCACAATCTTTTTTCTGTATCGGAAAATACTTTGAATAGAACCCCTGACTCCAAAGTTGTTTGGGTATGTCCTCCACCGCTATTGTCAGGAGCAGCTTTTGAACTTATATTTGTAAATCACTTTCTTGTAAAAGTCCCTTAAAAGGGAAGAGTTGGGGGAATTTGACAGGAGTTTTTCATATTCTGTGGTGTAACCCTGGTCTATAATTGCCTTTATCCATGTGTCTGATATAATTAGCCTCCACTGGTTGGTAAATTGGTCCAGTCTTACTCCTTATAACAAAGGAGACTAAACTTGTCTGTTTGGTCCATAACTCATAAGCATCACATCAAATGTTCAGCCTGGTGTCTGCTGAAGATGAAGAACAAGGAGCTAGTTCCCTCATCCTAGGGCTAGACCTGAAAGATCTGTTCTTCAGTTGAGACTGAAATGAAGTGTTCTTTTGCTGGTGCTGGTTCAGACACCTTTGGCTAGAGGAGAAATAAGATGAATGACCACTCTGAGGAATGCTCTCTCTGATAGATAAATGATGGAGTAGAAGGCCTCTTTCTGGTAATGGATAAAGTCCCAGAAAACAACCCTTCTATGTAATCTCCTTTAAATTTTCCAAGTGTTCTTCTATCTTGGAACTAATAATACCTCAGAGGGCTGGTCCTGTGCACTAAATCTCATATCTGAAGCCAGTAGAGATAACCAGAGACAAGTATGTGTCCTCAAACAAACTGCAGATGACCAAACTCTGGCAGAAGAGTCTAAGGCTTTGAATGATCCCCCAAGTACATGCTTGGGCACTTTCTTTGCTTTTGTGAGAAGGACATTAGCCAATCTTCATTCCTCCTCTCACAAGCGCTGGACAAATAGAGTCATCTTTTCCTTCAGGTCAAAATGATAACAGGCCATTACTGACTGATAATCAGTGAAGCAACAGCAGCAGCAGCAGCAGAAAACTTTATCCTTGATGCATAAATCTTCCTTCCCTCTCTATCTATCATGGTAGAGTGAGACTGGCCAGATCTAAACTTCTTACTAGCTGCAGCTATGAGAAGCACGTTTTTTATAGGTTGGGAATGAAAATACAAAATTTCCTTCCTGTGGCACTTGATAAAGTTTGTTGGATTTCTTGGACACAGGGTGATAGGAGGGAGGAGAGGATCAAATAGCCTTTGTAGACTGCAAAACTCCATCCAAAATAGGAAGCAACCCCCTATTCCTGGGGATGGCTCCCAAAATGTCAAATACAGAATATGTGTGTGTGCAGGCTGGGGCATTCTCTGTGGGTGGGGGCCGGGAAGGGACTAAATGGCTGAGTATGGAAATAGGTGTACATTGTATGTACAACTGCCTAAATGACACACAATTCCTACCAACATCTCTATTCCGGTTCAAGGAACTGGGGGATTGAATACCACAAAACTATGTTAAAGCAGAATTAAGAGGCCTTGGAGGAATATTGTCCCCTTGCATAACATTGGAGTTGAACAAAACTGAAACTTCTGAAAACCAGAAATGAACAATTGAAATTTCATATACAACTATGACGCTGATCTCTTTTAGCAATGCCCCAATATGCTCTGTTATACATACATACATACCTTTAGTCTGTCAAACCCACAGTTGCTGAAACATAAAGCACTTCAACTATTTCTTCAACCCACCCGTTCTTACCCATATAATTCCACCTAAATCTTTTAAAGGAAAGGGGAGGGTT